GTATTCAACATCTTAAAGTGTGACGATTCACAGAAATCCATTAGCCCTTATACCTCAGGAAATTACTACTACTTACCATATTTAGTTCAGCACATGAAGTCTCAAGGAGTTTTATTTCAATTTGAAAAAGGTACGCATGTGATAAAAAAATTTATTCAAGCGTTTTGACATATATGTGGCAAGCTATTCACAACTTGCCTGTTCCATGATTCATTCCTCAAATTTAACAGTTTTATACAAGTCTACAACCAAACTCATTTCCTATAATCAGCACAATGTTCTTCTTTTAAAGAAATTACAGATGCCCTTACCTAAATAAATTTCCACCACATATAGGAAATAGTAACTTCTACTATCCGCCTTCAATATGCTCACTTCATCCTTTCCATGAAAAAATGAGGGAGTAACGTAATAGCTCAATCACAGGAGGTGACAGAGACATGGAGTGGTGGCTCAAGTGGTAACAGACTACAGAAAAAAACCTATGCTTGCTTAGGTAGTTTGGATTTGGGTTATGTTTGACAGGTGGTAGATTAAGGTAAATAAGGTAGGTAAATGGAGGTAAATAAAGGTAACAAATTTGAGGCAAGTTTAGGACATAATGTTCAAAAAAAAGTTGTTTAGCTTGTTAAGAGTTAACTGAATGTAAGTATGTATGAGACGCTGTATGGAGTGGTAAAACTAAGGTAGGAACTCATATACATATAACATTAATACTGCTGTCTAATATGTACGGAGTAACATCTTATTCTAATATATATAATCCCTCCATCTGGATTTAGCTGTCGAATTTCCAAAATACATCAAATTTAAGAAACGATACTATGAGGGTAGAGTAAAAAAAATCTTCAAACAAGTTTGCCCTTCATTAATGATGACGACAACAACTACTAACCAAGTACAATCCCAGCTTTGCTCGGGTGTGGGGAGGTCAAGATGTACGCATGGTTACCCTTTTAAAAACAGATAGGTTGTTTCCGTTAGAGCCATGATGCATTGATGCATTTACTTCCCAACACTTCATAGAAAGGGGTATTTTTTTAGTCTCATTCTGTTGTCCTTCATCAATGACAAGTTGACAACAATACTAATATGGCAGTTAGGGGTATTTTATAAGTCAAAATAATTTGTTTGCTAAATAGAGTAAGTGAACAATTAGTTTGGACACCTAGAAAATAAAAAATGTTGGCAATTAAATCCGGACGGAGAGAGTAACTTTAAGGCTGAACACCTAGGAACATGTGCAAAATTTGTCCCAATTCAAAATAACTGCAATACTCTAAATTCATTATGAGTTGAGACACATACTTAAGATAACACTGACAAACAATCATTTCGTACTGCAACAATGGGTGTAAGTTCAAGCAAATGCAAATTGATTATTCTATCATTCTATGATCTTGACTTTTTGTAATTTGGTGGGACACGCATTCAAGAATATCATAGTAGTAGTAAACATCAATTTGTCAGTTGTAGCAACTTCGAGGGTGTATATGCACAAGTGTCGCATATCAAAATTAAGGTACTGAATTCTTTAGATTAATGAATGACCCTAAGCCAGTTGAAATGAGGGGGAAAAAATTGCAGACAAGAGGTAATAGAACAGAAGAATCTTCAATAGAAAGAAAATTGCAATCAAGTTCAATTAACATTGCTATTGAAAAACTCAAATAAGAACATAGCATCAATAGTGTCCCATATCAAAATTAAGGTACGGAATTCCTTAGATTAATGAATGAACCTAAGGTAGTTGAGATGATGGGAAAAAACTGCAGACAAGTGTTAATAGAAGAACAGAAGAATCTTCAATAGAAAGAAAATTGCAATCAAGCTCAAATAAAACTGCTTTTGAAAAACTCAAATAAGAACATAAATTAGGATTGCATCAATCAACACTTCTCGAATGTCAGAAATTTGAAGTGATTAACTCTAATTTCCAATAGAATGCCCAATCCCCAGCCAAAACAAAAACTCCAGATTTGAATCTGTATCACTGCTGCTAATTCCGATCATAAATCGTACCTGACGTGCATAAAAATGATTATATGGAAAACTACGAAGAGATACAGATGAAACACCATAGTGTTACAGTTTTGATTGTCAAGTTGAATCAATGGTTGCTTTAGGAGTAAGTTGTTCAAATTCAGATCCTGATATGACCCACATAAAATGGACTAGAGAAGAAGTAAAAACCCAATCTGGCTAAGCATTCTACAAAGAACTGAATTGAAATTGAGCAAAATAGTTCAGACCCCGCGGATTTTGATTCATGTTTCCATCATTGAGTCTTTGAAGTACATCAAAGTCCGATTATTTCAAGAAGGTTTATAAGAGCAATAGCATTCGAGAAAGGCAAAAAAAAACTCGAAATCAGCAAATTGGTGCAAAAACAATTCCAGCCAAATAGAGGAATGATGTTCAGAAAAAAACCTTTAGTTAAAGAGACGACTGACCCTAAATGAATCACAGAAGAACATAACCCACCTTTCGGCAGCGGCTAAATGAAGACGACGATGATTGGCACCAAAAATGGTAATCTGCCTTTAGTCACCTCTTCGAAGAGCTCTTCGTAAGAGGTGGACTCACTCCCCACTCTGAAAAAAACCACACTCAAGTGATTCTCACGAACATGACTGCTTGAAATTAATTGCTTCCTCCTCTGGTAAATTTGTCCACTTTTAATTTTTTCAGTTAAAATTGATAAATTTAATTTCAATTTAAATAAAAATGATTATATTTATTATATAAAATTTTTTTAAAATACTATTTTATATAATTAATATACAATATATATTTTACTTAATTATATGTCAAAAGTTAAAAATGGTTGATTGAAAAAAATCAAAACTAGACAAATACTCAGGAACAGAGGTAATATAAGAAGTATTTATTTGTGTATTACGGAGTATACTTCATGAAACATTTTGTAGTGTGTTTTCTTTTTCTTAATACTCCTTCGGTCTTACAAATTGTCATGTTTTGACTTTTTTTGTCAAACAGTGACACTCTTTGATCATAAATTAAATATAATCTAAATACATAAAAATATATAAATTTAATATATCAAAAAAATATCCTAAGATCAACCTAACTATATTAAATTTATATTATAATTAAATATACTTTTTCCACAATTTATAGTCAAATATTGTCACTGTTTAACTAAAAAAAGTCAAAACATAAAAGATTTTTAAGACCGGAAAGAGTATTATTTAATTAGGTCGAGAAAGTATATTAAAATCCCACCGTACAAGAGTCAATATATGGTATAGCCGGCTGTACCAGAAGTAAGGTACAACCGGATAGTACTCATTTTGAAATAAGATAGTATTTATTCTCACACAAACATAGGTATTCATTTGAAATAATGTAATACTCATTCAAAAATAACGTAGTACTCATTTTGAAATAACGAAGTACTCATTTTCACACATTTGTTTAATATAATTATAATATTCATTTACGAATAATGTAGTGTTTATTCTTAAACAAAGTTGTGCTCAATCTTAATTAACTTAGTGCTCTTTTTTAACTAACTAGCATTTTCACCCGTGCGATGCACAGGGTCGACGAAATTTTTGTCTATTCTGAATTTTTTTAATGCAATATATTTTCTGGATCAAGTAAATACATTTCTAACACGATTTTTTATCATTGGACAAAAACACCAAGGTATAATATTTGAGAAATTGAAAATATACTCAAAAATGTCTTTTTTAATTCCAAACTTGTTGGCATGAAAAATAAGAAATTAAGTAGTACTTTTCACCTCATGGAATAAAGGATAAGAAAAATTCATTTACCATTCAACAACCTCGAGCACGGGTGTCAATAGTGCACTATCTTAAAAAAAGAATATAGTAGTTTTTTATGTTCTCCAATAAGTTCGAATAAGTGAAGTTCACTATATTCTTGAAAAATAAATTGTGTTAAGAATCAAGATCTTTAACTATTAGAGCACCAACTTCATGTATTGGGGAGATATTATAATTTCTTGAGTCTCTAGTTTTCTTTGTCAACAACCTCAATGATACATTAGAAGTAGGCTCATTATATATGAAGTCTTACTTTTCAACAGCCTCAATGATACATTAGAAGTAGGCTCATTATCCATGAAGTCTTTAGTTCTTCTAAATATTTGTGTTAAAACATTATGCTCATCTACCATATTTTTCAAATCTTTGACCAAACTTTTATCAGTAGTCTAAGAATTATTCTCCCTACTGTGCGAAACAAATAGAACAATTTGTTTTTATTAGCGTGTTAATAATGTTTCATGTGTATTATATTGTCAAACACATGTAAATAATACTTTTATTAAAATGGTGTACTCAATAAAGTATTTGAGATACCTAAAAAGAGTTATTTGTTTTCATATCTCGTTCTGTATACCATAAATATACAATTGTGTAAATTTTGGTCTTTCACCATATTGTGACATTAAACATGATATGTGATGATGAATGTGTTCGCTGAGAGTACATTATTGCTCAACCATTATTGTGAGATGTATCAATATTTCCATTTATAAATGTTAATGAAAACATACAGTTGTATTTATTTAAGTTTTTCATGGTAATGAGAACTCTTCACACCAAGACCATAAAATAAATTATAGAGCAAATCAGATAGTTTTCCTTAGAAGAGACAATTAAACTTTTTCTTTTATGCAAT